GCGCACGCATCCACGTACGCTGCTCGGCAACCAGAGGCTCCACACTCTGCTCCCGTTCGGTTGTGCTTATTGGACCAAAGAACCCCCGCGCTCCTCTCTCGGTTCAGGTTACGGTTGGTTTCCTTTGCCGTCGGTGTCAACCAAAGCGACATTCGATTGGGTATACTTGGGAAAGGAGGCGGGCCGAAACTGACGAAGGCGGGGCTTCTTGGCTGCTTGACGAAAATGTCGTGAATGAAAGGAAGGAGCCCAGAGAGGCACAAATTTGAGGGGCTTAGGAAAGTGCCTGACATGGGTTAGCGAAAGGACCCAAAACTTTAGATTTATAGGAAACGTAAAGATATTTGATCACCTTTAAGCTGCTGTATGCCCTTGCTACAGACTAAGAGACATGATGGCAATCTCCCGTTAGCAGCCTGTTTTAGCTCAGGCTCTGGAGTGGACTCCCTTAGCTGAGGGGTCCTCTGGGGAGCCAGAGACTTACGGAAACTGGTAGCGATGGCGGCTGGGCCGGGCGGTTGGCTTGGGCCGGCGTTTGGCCTGCGGTTGCTGATGGCGTCTATACTTCACGTGGTGAGTGGAGATCACCTACGCGATAGCCCCAGAGCGAGTGGCTCTGTTTGTGAGCCACACTTGAAAAGAATGGAAGGACTGCTTTCCTTAGCTACTGCTGCGGCCGGAATGTGACGTGGCTTATGTCCTCGTTTGATGCTTATCCTTCCCTGCTCGTGGTTTCTAACGGTTCTCTCTCCTGGCTTCAGACTATCTTGAGTACTCATTGTCTCTTGCAGAGCTCCAACTAAAAACAATCTGTAAATCACACGGTGGGGAAAGGCATGAAAATTGCTTTCCAATGGGCCGGAATAAACCGTTCTTTACGACAGAGTTCCCAAATCATAGAGGAAAGCCCTCAAGTCTTTGGTTCAGAGTACACTTCCTATTCTTTCAATTATTAATGATCTCTAAATCATTGACAGCCTTTTACCTCTGTTCTCTGACATTCACATTACCGCTGGGTGCTCTTCAATGTTGTGGTTTTAAACATTGTTGCAGTGAAAGGAGCTACTGTGTGCTAAAGCATAATTTATTTATTTATTTGTGTTTTTTTTTTTGAAATTGATCTAAAATGATAATCTTCATCTCGTTTAAAATCGGGCAGTGTTAACCAAGTTTTTTGTTTGTTTGTTTTGTTTTTTTCTCCAATAACAGCAGATCGGTTCTTAATCTCCGAATGAGGAAAAACTATTTTTACTTATTTTTCTATTCACTCATGAACAACTTAATATTGGTTAATTCCTCCTAAGAAGTTTTCAATCCATGTTTTGCTATGTGAATAATAAAACTTTTTAATAGGCACTGTGCTTGGATCTTTTACACTTTTTTAAATCAGCTTAATTCTTCAGGTGTTCTCTTTACTGAGCCTACTGAAAAGTTCTCCTAGGAGACCTGGTTTCATTGATTTATCCAAGGTTTGGGAGAGTTTGGGCCTGTCCCAAAGGTCTCTATAAACACTTCTCTTTTTCTTTCATCAAGGAGTTTGAAGATCCTGCCTGTTTTATTTTGCAACCATACCTAAGAGATGAAGTCTTTACTTCTCTAGTTAGCATTACTTTACTCCATTATTCAGGTATTTAGTGCCTTAGAAATTGCTGAAAGACCCTTTCTAAACTTTCTACTCAAGATTTTTCTTTTTCTTTTTTCTTTTTTTTTTTTTCTTTTGCAAATGTTAGGTAATTTGAGTTCACCACCATGCAAAGATAAAAAGGAGTAACATTTCAAGTTGCCTTCTGATTTCCCTCTGTTTTATTATCTATGGCTGTGTAACCACCCCAACTTAATGGCTTAAAATAACAATTTCTCATAATTCTGTGGGACTGCTGAGCAGTTCCTGTGTCGATTTCCTCTGGCCTCATTTATGCAGGTAGCTGTATAGAGCTAGTAGGTCAGCTGGACTGAAAGGTCCACGATGGCTTCATTTTTAGTTGATTCTGACTACAGATAGGTCAACTTGGTTTTCCATGTGACCCCCTCATCTTCCAATAGGCCAGAACAACTTCTTTTCATGGCAGTCTGAAAACAGCATTATTAAAGAGCAAAAGCTACAATGCCTTCTAAAGCCTAGCCATGGAAATCACATATATCACTTACACCTCACAATTTGTCAAAGCAAATCTCAAGACCAATCTAGATTTCAAGGGTGGAAAAATAGACTCCATCTCTACATGGGAGAAGTGACATAGTCACATTGCAAAGACGTGTACATACTAGGCAGGTTAAAGGGAGTTTATGGCCTTTAAGCAATCTACCACAGTGACCATTTACAGAATTTAAGCCAGAAACTTGGGTGACATCTTTGACTCCTTCCTTTGTATACATACCTCACATCCAGGCAATTACCAAGTATTATTGATTTTACTTACTAAATTTCTCTGAAATCCATCCACTTGCTGTTAACTCATTCAGGTCACCAACATTTCTGTCCTTAGAAATAACAGCCTTCTGGTTCGCCCTTTGAATTATCAGAATCTAAATGGTTGGCTCTGCCATCTTCCCAATTGCCTAAGCCAGAAATTACTCATTTTAAATTCTCTTTTCTTTCACTCTCTGAATCCAAGCAGTCATCAAACCCATAAAAATCTCCAATCCAATCCACTTAATCCTATCTCCACTTAGGTAGTACCTAAATTTAAGCTACCATCTTTACTTGCCTGGAATTACCACACCAGTTTCTTTAACTGATCTCCCCATCCCTTTTTCTCCATTTCTAATCCAGTCTTTACAATGCATCCAAAGTCATCTTTCTAAAACTTAAATCTGTCGTTATTAAAGCTTTTCACATTCTCTGTTGTTTTTAAGGTGAAGTCTGCCCTCCTTCACATTCCTTAACAAGGCCTGTTTCACCTGATACTTCTTTGTCTATCCTGGCTTAATTCCCATTGTTTATCTCTAATGGGAGAGCAAAAATGTAGAGGTGAAGATTTGGGGCCACTTGCTTTAGTATGTCTCACATACTGTATTCTCCCTCACCAAGACTACAGTATGGTGTTTGGATAAAATGCAAAACTTAACACATTCCATACAGTACTCTCTCCTTCGCATAGTCTATTTTACTTTATGCTGTATTACACAGATCCCCAACCTTAACCGTACCATAGCTGTGTGTATGTGTTTGTATACCTTCACTCTCCCTGCTCCTGTGCCAATTAGAAGGTAGCCAAAGGTAACATAGGGACTGTTTTTCTTTTATATATTTTATACTGCGCCTTACATGTATTTGTTCATTTAAATCCTTATGAGGTATGAATAGCCTCCTAGTTCATTTGTGTTTGTTCCTTGCTGTTAAAGCCATCAGGATATCTATAGTTTGTGTGGAGTGGTGAGTGTGGAGCGGTAATGAATCCTATCTACTCATACAAATACAAAATGACTCTGAAAATAGAAAGGGAGTCCTAGTTCACTGTTGTTGAATTGTTTTAACTTCCCTAAGGTTTATTCCTGTCTCTTCTGTAATGACTAGTGTTTTTAGGAAAAGAAGGCAATAAAATTCTTGAAAAAGAAAAGAGAGTGTATGGAGGATTGTTGGGAAAACACTTAGAAGTTAGAAAAAAATGCATTTCACAGTTAGCCTGAGGGGAAAAAAGGCCAGGTGAAATAAGTAATTGGCAATAATAAAAATAAACCAAATCTTTGGAACCTGACGGATGGCAGAGGGGAAAGAATAAGAGATGAATTTCTTGGCTCCTTGAGGTTGAGCTACTGGTAATGGATAGAAAACTTAACTTATACTTTAATTCACACCTCTTGAGTCTTTAGACTAGATAAGTTGAGTTTTTATCACTGTGTGCCTCTGAATAGCTCTAATTTAAAGTTAATAGCAATGCATAGTTATCAGCATTCCAGTGACAACTGGGAAGATTTAAAGTGATTTAATCTGAAAATACATTCTGAGTATGATTAAGCATTAGAAAAGTAATATTTTAGTATAGCCTAAGGAAGCTGTTTTCTAGAGCACACAGAACTAAGTAGTATTCATTTCTTCATTCAGCTCATACATAACATTCTTCATTCAGAAAAGCACTGTACTTAAAGCAGTATTCATGATACTGTGTATCATTGATTCTGAAACAACCCCCTTTTATTAATAGGTTAACATCTGTATCTAGATCAGTCTTATTTCAATGAGTGGCACAATTGTCAGCATTTTTGTTGTTATTCTTAGTAGTACATTTAATAATGGTGCTTCATGGATTCTGTGATATATGGTAGTTAATAACAGTGGTCAAGGGTCTTGTGGGCAGGCCAGGATTAGAATCAATGTTCCTACCTGTTTGCTGTGTTGTCTTAGACAAATTACATTAACTATCCTAAGCCTCTGTTTACTTCTCTACAAAGTGGAGATAATGATACCTTCTTCGTAGGGTAGTTAAGATTAAATAAAATAATGATGTAAAGTGCTTGGCAAGATACATGATGCTTTGTAAGAGCTTGATGTAATGGTTATATTTCTTGTATTCATTTTCATGGAGTTTATCTGTAAACCCATCTATTTATTTTTGTTTCAGATTTGAAATCTGTTCAAAATTACATGAGAAACCCATGAGTTTTCTGAGAGTAAAGATCAATTAAGAGACCACTAATCATATGTATGTATAAGTATAATAAAATGTATAACTATATACCCAACTTTTGCCAGAAAAGGTAATGTTACATTATAGTTAATCCAGTTTCCCTGCCAACAACCTTCATCTACAGGGAACTCAATTACACCAGAAAAATAAATGAATGAATAATGCGTGGAGCGGAGAATGGAGTTTCTTAGCTTTTCAATGCTATTTTGAACTGGGAAAAGTTAAACTGTTAAATGGTTATCTCAATCAGGGTTATTCCACTCTATCCTTAGAATCTCTATCTTTCTTACAAGTGTGGCTACTTATTTTAAAATTTAATATTTGACCTTAATATTAAATGCATTTTAAATGCTGTTCAGTTGTTTTTTGGTAATAAAAAGATGGGCAGGCATAATTTAAAATTTTGAACTCCTCTTTTATATTATTTAGTATGTAGTGTTTATCTGCGAAGTGCTTAAAATATATTCTGATGTCCTTAGATTCAAAGCCTTGAGTCTGCCAAACCAGTGATAGAACTAGAAAAAAAAATAGTTCACTCTTGAAACTCAAGATACTTGTATCTCCCATACACTTATTCTCTATCCCATGTCTAATACAATGATTAAAACATAAGTAGTGTTTTGTAGATTTTAACTGTACTTTCACAGTTGAAGATGGTGATGACGCTAGCACTTACTAAGTACCCACTGTGTACTGGGTAAGATACTAGATGATTTCTGTGCTTTTTTTCTCCTTTAGTCTTCAAAACTCTGTGAGATAAGTGATAATTATTCCTATTCAGAAACTCAAAACTCAAAACTTTGTTGGCAAATGAATCAAGATGTCATCAGACTCTAATATACATGTTTTGCATATTCATGCCACCTGTGAATAGGTGCTCAATAAATGCCAGACTAGAACCAAGTAGTAAGATCGCATGATTATTCAAGATTCTTGTTTTTAAGACATGCCATGGTAGCAATTTCTTATATTTATTAAGCAGGTCACAGTTTCAAAGAGATTTCACTTTTATTACCTGTTTTAGTTACCATGGCTGCAAGACAAATCACCCTAAAATTTAATGGTGTAAAACAATTACTTACTCAATATACATGTTTTGCATATTCATGCAAAATTTTGCTTTCAGATTCTGTGGGTCAGAAATTCAGAGAGGGCACAACAGGATGGCTTGTGTGTTCCATGGCACCTCAGACCTCAACTGAAAGACTGGAGCCTGAAATGTGAAGGCTCTTTACTCACTTATCTATAGTAGCTGATGCTAGTCGTCAGCTGGGGGCTTCAGTTGCTCTCTATGTGGGTCTATTCATGTTGACTCTCTAATTTAGGCTACCTTACAACATGGTGGCTAAGCTCCAAAGTTGAGTGTTCTGAGAGAGAGACACAGAGCACATATGAGCACAAGCCAAGCAGAAACTTTCCTTTTTTTATGATCTTCCGTCAGAAATCACATTATATTGCTTCTTTTATACTCTTGTGACTGTTGGTCAGAACAGTCACAAGCCCCTGCCCAGATTCAAAGGGAGAGAACATAGACTACCACTTCTCAGTGGAGGACTGCCTGTCACATTGTAAGAACATGTGGGATGATGTATATATATTGGTGGCCATCTTTGGAAACTACAGATTATCCTGTGAAATAGATTAAGCAGATCACTTTACTAATGGAGAAATTTCTCAAAGTATTAGGTACAGTAGCAAGTGTCTTATGCCCCTCCCCACTAGACTGGGATACTTGATCTATTTTGAAGATTATATATATTCCACATTATTATTGAGATAAGATAAAAGATCTTTAAGGTATCAAATTAGGGTGTTGACTAACATAAGACCAATGGAATAATAAACATTTTGGAGGAATATGCCAAGAAGACTTAAAAGTTTTTTACATTAGGAAATGCCATTTGGTTTTAATCTTCCTAGTTAGTCTAGAAGAGTGACAAACTGCAGTTAGTAAGCCAAATCCAGCCAGCCCCGTTTTTGTGAATAAAGTTTAATTGGAACACACATACCCATTCATTTATTATTGTCTGTGACTGCTTTTGTGCTGAAATAGCTGAGGTGAATAGTTGCAACAGAAACCATATAACCACCAAAGGCTAACATAGTTACTATTTGGCCCTTTATATAAAGACCCTTGGTTTAGAAGATTAACCAATTGCTGTCAAACCTGAAATTCCCGCTACCTGAGGCTGTGGTTTTGACCAATTCATTTACTTGACACACAGTGCTGGAAATATAGAGAAACAACTTAATGCTTGCCCTGAAGAATTAACAATATTGCTGGGGAATTAGACAATCCTAGATTTACATAGTACAATCTTTTATTACTATACAGTTGTGTACAAATTTCTTTCTCAGAAAAGTACTGTAGCTAAAGATTAATATCTGATTTTTTTTTCTAGAAAAATTTTTCTAGAAAACTGATACTGATCAGGTTCTTGGAAATAAGTAGGAATTAACAAAAAAAGTGATGAAAAGGGGTGAAAAACTGAAAAAGGAGCTTTAGACATAGGAAAAGTATGAGTAAATCTGTGTTTGAGTAGGAGTTTTATATTTCTAGGTATTACAGGAATTTATTATAGCTGAAAAGTAGAATAGGATTGGAGAGGTAATGAGAGGTAGGGTCGGTCAGTGAGCTTTTAAGCCACTGAGGCAGGAAAAGATTTGAGAGCTCTTTTAAGAGACAGAATTACCTAAACTTGTTAATTAGCTGTAAGAATGGTAGGAAGTGTGGAGTCCAGAATGACTGACCTGGGCAGTTAGATGGTCAGGGAAAATGGTAAAAATAGGACCACTTTACTATATTGAATACACTGGGGAGGAATAGATTTAAGGAGAAAAGATAAGTTTCACTGTTGGAGATTCTGAATTTGCAATGCCTATGCAACATCTAAATGAGACAGCGAGGAGGCTGTTGGCTTTGGAAGCTTGACATTCAAGAAAAAGACTTCAGAGTTTTCAGTAAATCGATATCTGAAGCCATGGGAAAGATGCATTTGTCTATGAAAGTATGTGAAGCAAAGAGAATGCCAAAAATAGAAATGGGAAACAACGACATTTAAGAGATGCATAGAAGAGGAAGAAGAAAGAAGACAAGCCCATGGAAAGAGTTTTGAATGCCTTTGCATTTAGTGATTTTTGGCAAGTTTAGTCCAATGGTACAGTCGGAAACTAGAGTAACAATTTAGAAATGATGGAATGTGGGGAGAACAATTAGAAACCATAGGGCTAGAATACACTGAAGAATTGAATTAGTGAAATTCAGTCCCTGTGAAAGTGGCAGAAGCTAGGATTCAAAGCACAGGTAGAGAAAGGGGTTGAGCTCAGAGAGATGAAGGTATACCATATTCACTAAGAAGGTGAGGGAAGAAGACTAATATTTTTGAAAGCCTACATTTGCCAGTCAGTCTGATTGATTATGTAAGTCATTTAATCTTTACGGCAGTCTGTTTTATGTAAGAAGTGTTGCTCCTTCATCAATGAGGAAATTAACTCTTAGGTTATCTTGTCCAGTGTCACACATCTTAAAAGTGGTGGAGTTAGTACCTAAAACCCAAAATTTTATTTCTGAGGTGCTCCTGTTCTTTCTAACTTTGTCCCCTTCCCTACCCTTCCTCTGCTACATGTGAGTGAAGATAAGTCTGTAGAGTGTGATAGGGACCTAGAAGTTAATGTTAGTCCATAGACCCATGTAAAAGGCGCTAAAAGTTCATAAAATGAAATGGGAATTTGTTTTTCTACTAAGGAAATTCCTTTTTAAGAATTATTGAATGTTTAATAAAAGATACGTAATATACAGATCTAAAGAAATAATGTATCTTTTTTAATAATCCATATTGTGGCTATACTGAAAGATAACTTGTTTTTAAGAAAAAAAAAATTTTGTGGGAGAGGTGGGAAGAACCATAGACTCATATAAAGTTATAGAGTAACTCATCTCCAGTGTGTTAAATTTTGACAACCCTGGTTTCTCCTTTTTTTGGAAATTTTATAATATAAATATGGAATTATGTTTTGTTTCTCATTTTTTATTTTCAGGTGTCTGCATTCGGGGCAGAGTTTTCATCAGAAGCTTGCAGAGAGTTAGGCTTCTCCAGCAACTTGCTTTGCAGCTCCTGTGATCTTCTTGGACAATTTAACCTACTTCAGCTGGATCCTGACTGTAGAGGATGCTGTCAGGAAGAAGCACAGTTTGAAACCAAAAAGGTCTTGTTTTCTAGTATCTCTCTTCCTTAATATGGTTTAGTTGAGATAAGGTAAAATATTAACTTACTTAATCATCTTAAGTAAACAGAAGTCTCTGGCTTTTACATTTTGCAGTACCATTTCATACCCGGACCTCATTCTACCACAGTTGTCCAGCAGAGGAAGAACAGAATTACTCTAGTATACTTGGATTCTAAAGCTCTCTAGTCTTCCTAAATTGTAGCCACATGAAGTCAAAGAATAATTAATTGGATGTTTTTATTCATTTGTAAGAACTCAATCTTTAAATGAAATTTGGGATGAAAGTAAAGTACCCACTACCTGGCACATAATGATAGACAACAAATTGTAACTTTTAATCTGGTTAACCAAGGATATGGCCTGTTAATTTACACACCATTTACTAAAATTTCCAGGTACTTAACCTCACCTTTAATACCTGAAAACAGCCAAGATTAGGTAACTCTAACTGTTCAATAAAATCTATGTTTTGACCCACTGTTCAAATTAATAGTAAACTTGCTTAATTTTTTAATTTTTTCATTACACTGCTTTATAAAGTAGCAGAAAAGATCTAGCATGAGATTTTTTGGTAAGCTATTTTACTTCTGTTTTAGTTTTGCTCATACCTATGTTCCTAGGTACAGTTGACAAATATCAGTAAGGATGTTGACTTAATTGTGAAGAGCATACTTATTTGAAGCTTAAAGAAAAAAAACAAACTAATGAAAGAAAAAAATATTTAAATCTTGGTGCTGTTTTTATACAGTTAGTATTACTAAGTAGCATAAGTAACTTCAGCTTTAAATATTGGAATCTTAATATGTAAAGGAAGGGACCATTCTTTTTTTCACTACTGACTTGCTTTTTCCTTATGGTGGAAAAATATAGTAACTGCCAGTTCCTGAGTGTCACATCTTACAGCTTTTCACACAGAAAAGGACTAATTTTTCCTTATTTATGTTTTTTTGAAGTATTTTAGACAAGGATTGTTACTAGCTAAAGTTGAGTCACTAACCAGTTATTAGCTAGGATTATGGAATAATGTAAGAACCATTAGCTGCCACAGTAGCTATGTGGAATGTTGCATCCAGGAGCAAACAGATGAAGTAATTCTTGGGTAAAGATCAGGCTAGGTACTAGGTAAGCAATCTCTTTATCTGTTATATTTTATTCTCAATTACTAGAGTAAACCACTTGTACTTGAGCTGTTTTTAAAGATTTAGCTCCAGGGTCCCCTTTCCTGTCAAGTCTTACCTAATCTCTCTCCGCTAACCCAGAATCACTACCACTCTCAGTTATGTTAGCTACATGTACTCTATTCCTAGAGCACCTTAGGATACCATGATTTATACTTAGCTCCACTACATTGTGTCTGTTGTTTTCTTTCTTTTTCTCCCAATAGATTATGTTCTTTGAAGTCTAGGATTTTTTTGTTTCTGAATCCCCAGCCTTTAGCATACATTATTTCATGTTTTGTCCTTGAATAAAGCTGTTTTTATTAGGAACAAGTTAGAAAAGGTAATTTTAAAATGTTGAAAACATACTTGAACTCTGTAGATGCTTGTTTTCATTTCACTTATATGTTTTTTCATTTTACTTATATATCCTATATATAAAAAGAAAATTTGTCTTTATGTTAGCAGTTATCCATTAGTAATACTTTGTTTATAATTGTTTATCTAACTATAAATCTAGGTATCTCATTTCTATATAAAACATAGTCATCCCAAATCTATCTTTTAAAAGATATGTTAATTATTTAGTACAAATATTTAGTTGATTCCAGTCTGACCACTAATAGATATTTTTTCAAAGAATATATGATCATTAGTTTCCAGTTTCCTGAAATTTTCCTGAAGATAAATATAAATCAAATACTTTTTTTTCTGTTAAGAATTTTTTAACTTTTATTTTCTAAGATTTATAAGATTAAATGTAGTGTTTTAGTAGATGAGTTCTTTTTCTCAAAATCTTTCCAGTTCTGTGAATTTGAATTTGATTATGGCAGCAAGATGCCTTTTTTCTTCTCATTCATTTAGGGTTTTTATATCTTAATAATAATGATTTCACTTTCTTTCAGACATTGTAGAACTTTTGTATTTCCTCTTAACTATGCCCCTATTTCCTTAACTAGTACCTGTTCTTTTTAAGATCATGGTTCACCAAGATCCTTGTAGTCCCAGTGCTTTCTTTTTTCTTTTTTAGAAATATTTTTACTTAATTGGATTTTAGTACTTCCTGGTTTTTTTTGCATTTTTACCTACCTTATCTCTGAATTGCTGTTCTGAAGGTTTGGCTAGTTACCAGACCAGAGCAGCTTCTGGGAGAAAAGAATCCACTTAGCTGAATTACTCATATAGCAATAAGCAAATTATTTCAACTTAATTTACTGTTCACTCAGTCTTGATTATATTGGGAAGGAGTTTAGAATAGTGTTAAGAGCACAGGCTCTGGAAGCAAACTGCCTAGGTTCAGATACTCTGTACTCAGCTGATGATCTTAGACAAATTATTCGATCACTCTATGCCTGTTTATTCAGTTATAAATTGAGGATGATAATATTTGCTATCTCGTAGGATGGTTATGAGAATTAAATGAGTTAATATGTGTATACTGCTTAGAATAGTGCTTGCCACTATAATAAGTATTAGGTAAATACGTGTGGCTGGTGGTGATGATAGTAGTAATAATAGTAGTATCTGATTTGTTGATGGAAAGAAAAACAAGAAACAATTTGGAGAACTCAGAATAGCATACTAATGATTACTATTGGCAAAGTAGTGTAAAAGAAATAGATAAGAGGTATAACATGAGCTATTAGATTTGCCAGTTATAAAAATTTGGAACAAAATTTGGTTACTCCACTCTCAAGCTCCTGGATCAGTTGAATCAAGAAGAAATATAATAACAATTAGTAGTATAAAAACTTTCACCATTTGCAGCTTCTTGTTTATGTGGAACAAAATATAGAAATTATTTGTGTCAAACATAATCCTAAATTTCAAATTTTTGAGTCCAGCTGATGTACACATTTTAATAAGGAGAATGCTACAAATTTGAACTTTAACAGTTTATACTATTTGAGCATTTTAAAATGCCTCTTGAAAGATTGCATTTGAAGAAAGAAGGTTTTGCTACTAAAAAATTTTTTCAAAATCATTGATAAAGTGGAGCTAAATTTTGTTAGGACAAACGTGTTCTGAAAATTGCATGAAACCTATATTTTAAAATCAACTTAGAATAAAACATATTATTGGCTTCAGACTTCAGAGAGCAGATCAGATAGAAGTCATGATATTCTTTGAAACTAGAAATAATATAACAGAAAGCAAATTAAACTATATGTTTGCAATATAAAAATAATTAGTTTTTGAAAAAAGATAGCTGTAAACTAATCTCAATTTCTAATTTTTCTGCTAACATACCTCTGCTACTTATATTTTTTATCTGACACTTGGTAACAGAGTTCAGAAGTTTAAGAAAGTTTTGGAAGAGAAAAGCTTAAAAGTGATTTTAAAAAAACTACAGATTAAAAAGAGATTTTTTTTATTTGAATTTTGGAACATCTTGGTCTCGTTCACAGAATACCAGTAGAAGCTAGGCTGCAGATCACCAAATTATACCATTACTGGTTCTGGAAAATAGCTCAATAGTTCAGGTGATTTGATGAAGGGATTTTTGCTTTTTAGAAAATGCTAAAACAAAATGAAAAATATTTATCTTCATTAATTATTATAATTCACTGGATTTTAATAAATGGACCTAAGTACATAATGCATAAATAATTTTAAGAATTTAGTTAAATACCCTCCACTTCTCACTCCATTACCTAGTTGAAGTTAGACTAATATTGATTGACTAGCTCTACATAGTAGGATTCCCATTTTCCATGTGTATAATGCTCTACCTTCACATTTACATGCACTCCAAACAAGACAGAGATAATAAAAAGGTGATACTCATGAATGTATAGTTCAGTGAAAGTTTACTTCTTTCTCTTTTTATAAGAGTTTTTAAAAGAGTTGAATTTTCATCTCTGCTTCATTGCTTACTAGATTTGTGACTTCGAGCTAGCAAATTACTTTGAGATCCTCAGTTCTGTTGTAATAATTACATTGTCCCACTTTTGTTTCTTTTACCTTGGTTATGTCCTGAAGTGTTTTCCCTACTTTATTTTATCGTCACAACTCTATAGTGTAAATACTGTTACTCCTATTTAATGGAAAAGGAAACTAGGATGTAATCTGCCCAAAGTTACCTAGCAATTAGATGCCACAACCTGGCTTCATCTCAGCTCTATTTGACACTAAAGCCACAAGTTTTTAAATCTCTGTGCTATTTTGCCTCTCTTCTTGAAAATATTAACAGTAATACCTACTTTACAGAGTTACTGTAAGAAAATGAATGAATTTGATGTAAAACCCCAGACTGGCTTTCTGAAGGTCCCTTTAGCATTTATAGTAACAATTTTAATAACACAATTCTGTCACTAGTTTTTATTTAAAATTATCAAATCTTTATTCCTCAGTTTACCACAGACATTAATGGCTCACCTCATATTACTTGGCATTTTTCAGGAATGTATTAACAACTTTTGCTTTAAGGCCTAATCAGACATTTAAATAAGTCATGTAACTTTTTTTTAATTCTGGTAAAAGAGTCAAAACATTTAGTTATTTTCAGTTTACTTGGAAATTCTGTAGCCAACTTCAGAGTAATTTAGAAGTCAGCTTAAACAACATTATTCAAGACAGTGGCAGATTTTAAGCTTTAGCCTATCAGAAATAGAATACTACTGGCATGTAAAACAGAAGGATGAAATGGAGGTTAAGCTAACTATGCGTGAAATTGTAGGCACTAAAGAAATTTCACAGTTGCTTAAAATAGCTTCACTTTTTTTTCATAGTGTCTGTAGTATCAATACATGAACTGATTTCTTCAAAGGAAACAATCTAAATATCTCCAACAGATTTTTTTTTCGATTAGAGTTGACATTC